TCTTATTTCTGTCTGGAAGAATCAAGGCCAGACAAAGGACTGGTGCCACTGACACAGTTCTTCCCAGGCTGCAGCATTCACTCCTTGTTCTTAAGATCTGAGCATACCCTGATGTAGGCCTCCAGCAGCTACTGTCTGATTTCACACTCACCACTGTCTAATACTGCAGTACACCAGTAAAGCATGGACCTTTACCAACTGGGGAGGTTGCTGGCTACTAAAACAACACCAAGCTTAATGAGAATATAAGCATGTCAAGCCATTTAACTGTGTATGCATGGAATTAATTTTCTTTTTTCTTTTTTTTTAAAGTTTTACCTGTATTGAAGGCTTTTACTCATTCTGACTGGTATTTTGCTGTAAAACTATCCCTGATTTAATTGTTCTGTCCATTTGCTGGCTGATGCTTTGTCCTGTGTCTGAGGAAATTGGTTCGTTGAGGAGGCACATAATTCTCCCAAACCTCTCTCTGCCACTCCTGCTATGGGCACATGGCAGTTTTGAAGGTGTGAAGTCAGCAAACCCTTCACCTTGCCATGTTCCCTTTATGCCAGGTAGGGTTATTGGTTTTGTGTGACATCGCATCTCTTCCTGAGATATCTTTTTCTTTCCATTCCTGCTCAGTTTTTGTAGTACTGCATTAAGGGATGTTTACATGGATTTCTGATGGATGTGTAACTACTTTTCAAAATCTTTAATTCTAACAAACTGTATCCAGCACTCCTGCTTATTTTGTTTAACGGAGAAGAGAAGGACAGACTGAAGTACTGGTCCCCCAGGGAGCTGGGGAGAGAACAGTGGACACGCTTCTTAAACTCTTCTCCAATCTAAGGTACTCCAGTCATCAGCAAAACAAAACACATGGGAAAACTCTTGCCCATTCTTCTGGCACTCTCTGCCCCCCATGTCATTTTGAATTACGTGTCTTTCTCTGACCAACTGTAAGGTAGAAGCTAGAGGTAAGCAGCCACTGTGACAATGGAAAGTTAAGCTAGCCTCAACTGTGGCTAAAGTAGCAGCAGATTTGTCAGATGCTTTCTTATTGAGGAGCTTCTGTAAGTAATACATTCAGTAATGCAAGGGCAGAGGGGCACCAGGTTTCATTTACCAGATTAAAGTGTAGAAGAAACTCATCTGCCCTTAAAGCTGAGTAGTTAGGATTTGGATGTCACATCTCCCAATTTAAGTAGCTATGGAATAAGTCTAACAGGTATCCAGCAGCATGCCAGGTATTGAGAAAGGCACTATTTTAACACATCTACATTTCTAATGACCCGATAAACCTTGAGAAGTGTATAACCCTTACAATTGAATTTGAATGGGGCTGTAACTGTACAGAAAACTTTCCAGCAGAATTTCAGTCATTTTCAGTTATGGCTGATACTTCCATAACTGAATACTTTTCACTTGGTGGTGCTGCACAGAGAACACAAACAAAAACATCTTCACACTCCTGTAATTTTCGTTGCTGCTGAAGCAGAGTTTATAGAGATGGGAATTATTCCACTTGAAGTAGATGCAGAATGCTACATGGCATAAATTGGGTTACTCATCACTTTCAGGAAAAGGGGAATAAAGGAAGAAGGATATATTGGGCTCCATCTTCCTCAGAAAGAGATGAGCCTTCCCTTGTTAGGCTAAAGCCTCTAACTTGAGATTTTCGGTCTTTTTATGTTGTCTATATTGCCAGCATAGAGGCAGCACACAGTTTAGCACACCTACTGTTTGAATTGACGTGTGGGAGGGACTTTCTTCATCAGCTGAAAAGCAGTGATAATGAACATTTTTTTCCCCTGGTACTGGATATATTTTAAAGCAGCATAGCTCAGCTAGCCCAAGTCTCCTTGGGTGCCAAACTGCACACCAGTACCTTTGGCTTAATATCTGTGCATGATGGGAGCTTAGGCAAAGCAAATACTGCTGGTAGGATGAATTGCAGCCAGCCAGGCTGCGCTCTCCTCCTGGGTCTTAAAGCAAAGTTCTTAAATCCAGGAAAAGTATTTAAGCACTTGCTTAATTCCTGTCAACTTCACCAAGGATATCCTTTTAGTATGTTCTCAAGCCATCTGGAGATAAACATCCTTTTGTATCTGTCTTTTGGTTTGTGTGTATATAGAGCTAGCTGCATTATATTTAACAGATGGCCCCAAGTTGAAGGCTCAATCTAAATAAAAATGACTTGAAGTAAGAGCAAAGAGGATTCCATGTTACCAGCTGCAGACCTTTCAGGCCTCTAAGGTGCTGAGTGGTCCCATTTCTTATCTGACAACTGACATGCTAATAATTTACTGTCAATCAAGGAACTCTTGTGGGTAAAATGGGAGGAATTTCAGTACCTTGTAAGTAAGATTGGTCTTCCCTTTGCTTCTGTTTGTATTCTGCAGAATGTAGTTGCTGAGTAGAGCATGTATGGATATACTGGATATACTCTTCTGTGGCAGGAGGTCAGATGAAACAAGGAGAAGACGACCATTTGGTTAATGTAGATTATTTGTTCCTCGTCTCCATAGAGAAGAGAAAATCACTATGCAGTGCTGCCTTGACCCATCAGCATGACACGTGTCCTGATTGGTGATGGTGGGGAGAAGACCTTCAATTTTCATTTCTTTGTGATTTATTGAAATTCTTACAGCAGAGCAAGTTGTTTTCCCACTTTTCACCAGAACGTCATGTGATGTGTTCATCTTTATGGCCACATTGGTTGTAATTATGCCCCAGAATGTGCTAAAATAACATTTTGAGGCCCTTTGTCAACATAGTCACCTTCTTACACCTAGCTTTAGTTTTCAGTTCTTTGGCATATTGGCAGATGGGGTCGAGTTTCTTGCTTGTAGGTGCTGGTTTTGAACTTGGCTTGCATCCACTTTCATACCAAAAAAAAGAAGAGAATGTAGCATTTTACCTTGCTGCAAAATAGCTCTTCGAGTGGCAGTGGTGTATTGGTGTGCAAGTCTGTAATCAGTGAGGTTACACGCGATACTGTGAGCCACCAGGTGCAGTTTTTCATGATATTTTTATAATACTTTTCTGAAGTTGTGTCTTCCAAGTGTGGATTAGGAAGTCTTTTTAATTCATTGTACGTCTGATATTTTATAGTTTTAAATTCTCTACTTGTACTGATAAAAATTGCAGTACACCTGACGTTAGATGTAGAGTTACAAATCGGTAGATGGATATGTTGATTTATCTATATCTATCTATCACAGATAGGTGCTATTTAACTTCTAGAATATAATGCCTGTGAACTTCTCACAGAGGTGCAAATCATTTATTATGCTGTCATATGACAGGCATAGTGCCAGAATTTCCTTGTTTCCATGTTTGAGGTGATATCACTTTTCTTATGTCTTTTGTAATGTAGAGTGTAGCACTCTTAACCTTACAACCTTGCTATTAATCTGTTTCACTCTTTCTCATTCATGAATTCCATTTCTTTTGAAAACACTGTATACAGTTGTGTGCTAGAGTCAATAAAATTGACATTTGTGTAACAAGCTGTGGCATTTTCTCAGATTTCACTGAACACTGATTTAGTGTGAAACTGTTGATAAAATCTTTCTTGCTAGCTGTAATAATACAGAACTTTATTTCATATCAAACAAATAACTGCTTTGACTTTGATTTATAATAGGCTACATAACTGTCATGATTACGTAAACTGATGACTGTATTGTGTTTTTCTTTCTCTTTTCAAAGGAATGATATATAAACATGAACTGCTTTGGAACTGGAAAACATTCATGTTCTAGCAATAAATCTAAGTTTTTTCAGAAAATAAATAGGTTTTACTACTGGCCTAATTATATTTATTGGTGCCTCTGTTTACTGGAGTGTCTCACCTGTGTTGTACTAGCAGAAACATTTACCTATCATAATCTTAGAGGGGGTAAAAACCCATCCCATGACAGTGTAATGTATTTGTCCTTAAGTGTAAATAGCAATGTATATTTTACCCTTAATCCTAGACAGTCTGTTAGCTGTGGTAATCAAGAGCTTGTCACAGATTGTTGTTTTTTTTTTTGGTTGGAATTTAAGGTATGATGCCAAAACTGTTCAGATTGTAAGTGTTCCTCCACATGAAAGATCCGTCTTCTAAAACAGGTTTAGATTTTCAGAGGTTTGGAGGAAGGGATGACTGGGAGAACAGTGGGCATTTTTGGCAAACTCCTTTGTGCAGTGGGCAGTCCAACTGCTTCCCAAAAGACAAAATGCTCATTTCATTAATACTTAATGTAGCATATATAAATCCATGAAAGTGTAATTAACTGTCTAATTCTTTACTATTTTAAATCCAGAATTGAATGAGATTTTATACGTGTGCTAATCAAAAGTTGTCATGCTGTGTGCATTAAAAATATTGCTTTTCTTATGTAAACATAATGCTAGCATTTCCATCCCAAACAATCAGAGGAGCATGGAAAGACCTACAAGGTATAATATACATACTTGTGTGTAGCAATTGGGGAAGTAGTAGTTTTCTCCCTTCGTGTTAGATATACGTGGTGTTACTTAGCAGAAATACTACTGTAGAAAGTCTTTGTTTCTTTTTCTCTAGACTTGCACTAGATAAACTTGTATCCTGTAGCTCCCTATGGAGTACTGATTTGAGTCTTTTTAGTTTGCTAGAAAGAATGGCGCTCCTGGGGTGATTTCCTTATTGTTTTATTTATTCTCTCTGATAGAATAGGTGACAGCGGTGAAAAATTTGGTATTAATGTGATGTGTCGCTGTAAACCTTGCAGCTCAGTCATGTATGCCCTGGTCCCTTCCTTACACAGACACTAATTTAAGCCAGTTTATTCATATAAGGGAACACTAGACCCTTGGTTAATGCAAGTGGATTCAGCTTCTCTGACTTCAGGTCCATTTGGACAAGTTTGAGGACCCTGGTGGCTGTGTATTGTAGTGTAATTGCACGTGCTGCAACTTAAGGTAGTAATTTTTTTGTACTTTATAGAGTGAGCGTGTCCTAACTGGTTTCTGTTGTACCATTTTTTTAGCAGGTTCTCTGACTGGCAGCCCTCATCTGTCAGAGCTTTCCATCAATTCCCAAGGAGGACCATCAGTGGCAAACATGTCATTATCTCCAAACTTGAGCCCTGATGCCAAGCAGTCATCTCCCTTGATAAGCCCTTTGCTGAATGACCCATCATGCATCAGGACTGAGGAAGAGGAAGAGGTCAAAAAAAAGGTAAGGCAAAGGCATTGGGCTTTGACCCTCTTCTCTGTCTGCTGTTGTCAAAGCTGCTAATATCTACGCCCCTTGCAGCTTTCTCATCATAGATCCACATAATTAACTTGAGTTGGGCCACTTGGTGTCTGCTGCCCTCAGTCGTGATATATCCAAGAGCTCCCTGTGCTTTTGAGGCTGAGCGTCCAGTTTAGAGTGGGAACCACAGAGGAGCTGCAACTGAGAGTTCAGAAGCCTGGATTCATCCTCCTGAACAGAGGTGTGGGAGTTAGGGAGTTAGCTCCTCTTTAAGCAGCAGAAAGAAGAAACGCTTCGTGCCCATAAGGTGGGATAGAGCTGGGCCAATCCTTTGGGTGACTGTTCATTATGAGGTTTTTTTGATAGGGTCCCTTATAAATCTGGCTTGTTTTTAGGGAGAGGAGTTTAGTAGTTTGATGTAACATAACAGTTAGATCCAGTGTGGTATTGGAGGCAGAATTTCCAGGTAACAGAAATGGGGCAGTGTAGAGCCTGTGTGGAAGCATACAACCCAGTGTATCCCTTCAGGGAGCAACACTGGGACCATTCAGGAGTGGAAAATACTCTCTTTGAACTCCAGCCTGCAGTGCTCAGCTGGAAGTGTTTGGCTCAGCCCCATCACTGCAGCAAAACCATAAGGGAGCATCACATCCAAAACTGTCTTCAGTGACAGAAGTGATTCTGTCTGAGCCAGGGTATTCTCAGTGTCTGCCAGCTCATCCCTCCTGTGCTGCAGGAAGAGGCAGGCTATGCTTGTGCATCTGTTGCCTGCTTTTTTTTTCCTGAGCTGGAAGCATCTCAGGAGGAAAAAGGTAGGAACTCAGCTGGCTTTGGTGAAAGTGGCGGCATGTGTATGGAAGATGTGAGAGAGAAATCTGAGAAGAAAAGCCAAGAATCTATTAGTAGACTCACAGTTCTCCCTGCCAGCCCAAGGTACAGCAGCAGACTGTTCTAGTTTATACCAGCTGATGATGGTTCCCATGGCATTATACTCTGACTGGGAGATGCCCGCATGGTCTTGCCTCGCATCCCTTTCAGGTGCTGATCTTCAGGGAGGAAGCACAGAGCAAAAGATTTATGGATCTTCCTTTTAGCTTCGTGAGCAGTACAGAGCAAGAGCTGAGAAGGCAAAACCACTTTTGCCTCTTTGGATAACACAGAAAAATTAGTTGGGTTGTTTTTTTTCTGAAATTTGAAATTTATAAAATATGCTTCCTCTCTCCCACTGCTAAGTTTTCCAGCTGCACTGAGAAAATCATCTGGATTTGATTTTTTTATTGAGTATTTTGCTATAGATTCTTACTCTGACAGTGAAACCTGTAATAATCAGGCAGTAATTTTTTGCAGCATTTGTCAGATGTGGTTCAAGTGGTTGCCTAACCTGCAGAGGATTTTTTTGGGAACTCCAGAGCATGTCGTGCCCTACAGGTGTGCAATAAGCCAAAAAGAACATCAGCTTTGAAAACCTCATGGGAGAAAGAAATCTCTGAAGAATCCATAGATGTTTGCTCTCTTGTGTTGGCATGCAGAATTGTTTCCAGGGCTTCAGGGCTTATGAAAAGTCAAGCATGAGTCCCAGCAGCCACAAGCAAGGGTCACTAGTTTGTAACTCTCTCGGTGATTGTTGTCTGCAGTTTTTTTTCTACAGAAAGCAGCTCCATAAAAGCAGATGAAAACCTAAATGTGTTTGCAATTTGCAGAGATTCCCAACTGAGAAGGCTTACTTCATTGCTAAAGAGGTAGCAACCACGGAACGAACGTACCTGAAGGACCTTGAAGTCATCACATCGGTATGTTTACTTTAGCATTACTGATGGAACATGTGAAGCTGCAGTCAGCAGTAGTATTTCACCCGCTCCATTAAACATCATAACTGTTCCACACTACTTTTATGTGCTGCGCTGTAGGTATTCTCTGCAGTGCGCAGGAGTGCAACTCTAGGGAGGAAGTAACACAAAAAGCAGAAAGTGAAGGTTTGCCCTGTGGTTAGTAACATACACTATGAAACTCTTTCAGGTTGAGGAGCTTGGAACACAGTTCAGTTATTCTTTCTTGCTCTCGTGCTTTGTGGTTGAAAACCCTCAGGCATTTTTAGTAATTACAATGATTTCTATTAAAAGTGAAGTTGCTCTCTAGGGGGTCGTACTAATGTTTCCTTCTGGCTTAAATGCCTCCCATTTAACATCAGGTATGGTAGAGCACCTATTGGAATGTTTCTGACTTTTCACTAAGCAGAATTCACTGTTAAATAACTTACTGTTTTGTAGCATCTTATCAGTGTGTGATTATTAAAGTCACTGAGACAAGTGCCTTCTTTGCACACACAACAGTCCTATTTAATTTTCAAGAGTAACTTATGCAAGATATGACCTTAACAATAATTATCTGTGAGAGGGAGCTGGGTCCAAACCCTCTGAAGGTATTTCAGTAGTTCTGTCAGTTCCAGACTTCCCAGATGTTTAATTGCCCAGTGTGTGAATGTCTGTGAGGTTGTACATTAAGGGTGCATTGGCTCTTGGTGCATCAAATGTTGCAGTGAAGAGGACATGCTGCAGAGAAGAGTCTGTTGCTACCGGTGGGGAACCAGGAAGAGACACCTCCCCAGTTTCTCTTCTAGTCTAGGATACCACATGGCAGATGAAGTTGATCTGACACCACATTAGACACAGCTGATGTAAGCTGGAGTAGCATGGTTGTTAGAGCCAGCAGGATAGCTGTGGCTTTTTTGCCTACTGATCCTGGCTTTGCAGAGATGCCAGGCGGTGTGGGACAGTGATCATTGCTGCAGTCTTAACAACAGATGTGCTGCTTTCATCTTTCATTTCACTCAGCAGCTGCAGAAGCAGCAAGTTTTATCTCTTCATAGCTCCCTGCAAGTTTCTGCCTTAGGTCAAACTGCCACCCAGCCCTTCGTCCTTGTAGCAGGCAAATTTGAATAGAGCCATAGAAAGGATCTTAGCTCAATAATGAGACCCATCAGCTGTGCCATGCAGGTCTCTGGACCAGGAGGCCATTGGGAGAGAACGAGCAGCCAGTGTCATTAGAAAAGACAGAGCAAGTTTCATGCATGAAGAATGAGACTTGGTGGGCCTGTAATTCTTCAGTCCAGCAAGCCCTATAGTCCTCTGGTTTTACATCACCCATGTGTCTCCCAGAGTAAAATGAAAACTGAGCAGGAGCCTGTTGCAGTCTTAACAGCGTTGGGCCTGACTCTCCTGCTTCATGCTCCCAGCATCTTGCCCTGAAAGTGCAACATGCTGTGCTACTGGTTCACTTTGCAGAACAGTTCTTTGTGAACAGCACCGTGAGCTTTAGTGTTTACTGTCCTAACTCCTGTCAATGGGATTTCAGACAGAGCTCAGCAAAGTAAAATGCAGAGTGTATTTTGTGGTTTTACTGGAACACTCCCAAGTAATCTCTTGAGAAAATTCTCTTGTACCTACAGTATTTGCAAATCCAATTTGGGCTTGAAAAGAATTTTTGAGATTTGATCAGTAATGGCAAAGAGGAAGGGAGTTTCTTTTTCACCCATGCAGGGCCTGACCACCAGTTTGGGAGGTGGGAGTGTCGGGGTAGCTGGAATTAGGTCCTAATGCCAGCTGGAAAGCTCCCTACTGGGTTAGGTCTTAGGTGTTCCGTGCAGACAGTGATGGTCATACCTGCTGCATGCCACCCCCTTGGTAATTGTACTTCTTTTCTGTTTGTAGTGGTTTCAGAGTGCAGTGAGTAAAGAGGATTGCATGCCCGAGACTCTGAAAAATCTCATATTCTCCAACTTTGAACCTTTGCACAAATTTCACACTGGCTTTCTCAAGGAAATTGAGCAGAGACTTGCTCTGTGGTAAGATTATTTTTTTGTTATTTAGCAGTTATTTCATGTGCCCTAGCACTCTTGCACTCCCTTTTTTTTTTGCTCACTGTCTGTGATTTGATTGTTGTGATTCATTTGTGAAGCTATAAATGTTGGTTGTTAGCAGGCTGCATATATTGAGTCATGCTTTGTTCATGTTTACTTGACAAACCCTATTGTTCTCATGTCTCAGTCAGGTACATACATATGACATTGTAACACTGCATGAAGCTTTCTATTGCAAATGTCAGTGTTCCTATATGGCTGCCCTCCTGCAAGCAAGGCTTATGAGCAATAAAGAGGGGGAGGTGAAGGACCAAATCCTGTTTCTGTTTATTAGGGCTAAGCTGAGAGAAATTTCAGAGAGCAGCAGCCTATTGCACAGCACCTCATACTTAGCACTCTCAGAGTGCACCCTACAACAGGCAGAGAAGAATGGACTATCAGAAGATTACACTGGGCTTAAAATTTATCTATCCTTAGAATAGCAGCAACAAAACATGGCGTGTGTGTGGAATAGTTGTGAATTCAGTAATTCTTCCCTGGCAGTGCTCTAACTCAATGCATTTAATCAGCAACATCGGAGCAGACGTGGCACACAGAAGCCCTCTCCTTGCTGTGATTAGAACTGTCTGTACTGGATTGTTATTTTCTGTGTAGACATCTCTGGTGGGTTATCTTAGGTCCCAGGAGCCAACTTTTCCTACTCAATTAGAAAAAGTGACCATGGAAAACTCTGTGAGAGCAGTGAAAGTGTACCTTGCAGGCAGAGCAGATGAGTGCCAATCAGTTTAATGTCTGTGTAACTAATGAATCAAAGCAAAAGCAAGACATAATCTTAAAGTGCCTGAGTTTAGCTCTTGTGTTGTAGTGGACAAGGTCGCTGAGTGAGAGCACAGCACACTGCAGACTGATACTCTCCAAACCCACCTTGTAGTTCCATAATTAGTGTGTGCTTTTGGGGAAAGGAATGTGATATTGCCTCTTAGAGCTGAAATCCTCAGCTATCACTTTGTGGTTGATGCTTTACATAAGCCTACTGCACAGCAACCCTGCCTGCATGTCCTTTTCTTCATTGGGCAGCTGCTGCTGTTTTAATTGAGTCAGGATACTTGCTGGTATTAATTGCTTTTCAGCAAGGAATACTTATGGCAGGTTCACTGAGAGGGTTTTTTCAAATGCAATGAAGTTGTGATTGTTTCTCCACCCACACTGTAGGATTAACAGCTCTTGAAATGGGGTTGAAGGACATGTGGTGAGAAAAGGAAGATCTGTAGTTCAAATTCTGCTTTCTACCAGACCAGTCTCATATAGAGAGCTTTATGCGTGCTCATTCCTAGGGCACATGTTGAAGTAGATTCCCCCTGTATGCTCTGGTTGCTAGTGTTATACAGGTGCATGCCAACCTCCTGTTCAGATGCGATGCTTTTCGAAATTGAATTATGTTGCAATAACTGCCTAACCCAAGGCGATTGGGTTTAGAGAATAGAGAAAATAGAAAGCAAGTCTCTTTTGAACTCCACAAGAGGTTCAAAGACTGCAAATAAGACCTTACGTTTTCTAGTTTGTGCACATTAGGGACAAAACTCCGCAGCCCCATGGGAGGTCCCCAGACATGGGCACTGAAGTGAAAATGCAGTATCTGGGAAATTCAGCTGGAAGAGGAAACTCCTAATGAGTTTTATTTCCCCCCTCTTCAGTTAACTTCTTTTAGAGCTGAGTTAGCCTTTTGTTTTCTAACTTATCCTTGGCTGTGGCTGTGGTTTCATAGAACAGTGAACCTCACTTTAAGACTCCTAGTGCCATATTAAAACTACAGCTTTGCTACGATACGAAGTGCTGATCTGCTGTGAACTTGGTTTGCAGTTTAAAAATACTCTGATGAAGTAACTTTGCTCCAGCTGGGCACCTCAATCTGACTTTGGCAGATCAGCTATTGCACATCCTTCTGTGATCAATGTAGGGCCACTGTGAATTCTCTGTCAGCTGCTCTGATTCGTGTGACAGAAAAGCAGTCACGTTACTGCTCCCGGTCTGGACCCAGCTGGCAGCTGACAGCTTGGGTTTACCTTGTGTAAATGTTTGCTTTTTAAAGTTCTGGAAGATTTGAATATGTGAAACTGTGGGGGGAGGCAGACTAGCTGGCAGGTGTTGTTTTGGAGGTGTCGGTGTTTTTATATGCCACGGATGCTGAAATAAGTTGCAAGCAATAAACTCTTATCCTGTAGAGATTACTGTTTAATTAAATGATGAGTGACAAAAATCAGCTCTCAGTGTGTAAAATAGCAACACAGTAAGGAGTTTCTCCAGCAGTGTGATGAAGGTCACTTAGCTCGACACCCATGCTGTTGTGATCGTCCCAGTGCCTTTTGTCCTGGGTATTTTAAGCCAGTGGTTTCAACACAGAGCACTGACCAACCTTAAAGCAGGTATGCAGTCCTTGTGAGTCTGACTGCCACTGAGCTCTGTGACACCACTGCAGGATGCAAGCCAGCTCATTTATATCTGGTTTATCTGCATCAGCTCTTTTACCAGAGATTGGGGAAGGAAGGTGAGACACGAGCGTGCTCTGCATTCATCAGAAATAAAAGATCTTTGGATAAAAGTGTAAGAGACTTTATCAAGCTCCCAGAAGCCCCCATTCCTCAGGTGTGCTATCAGAGCTCCTAGGATGCTGTGTGTAGGCAGTGCAGATTGGGCATTGTTTTGCTTGTCAGAGGTGTCCTCCAAGCCTCTTTGCTGTGTGTTGGAGGTTCCTGCAGAAAGCTGTCCCTGCTCATACCTTGGGTCACATTGAAACTGATACTCTGTAAAAAGGCTGTGAAGGGACTAAGGCCAAAAGAAGATTGCTCATAATAGTTGTTAGATAACTCTGTGCTTTCAATTTATTTAAACATCAATAGATTTTTTAATATTTGGCTCAAAGAAGCTCAAGTTATGCATATTCTTAAAAGCATTTCTGGCTTGCTGGATAGCTTCTGAGCTTTTGAATCTGCTACTGAGTATCTACAGGGCTGGTATACTTTTGATCCAGTTATGGATTCTGGCAGGACTGATTTGTTTCTTTATACAACTCACCCATTTTTCATACTAAGAACAGAAGATCCCAGTGAGGACGTTTTTAACAAGGTGTGAACTGATGCTGACACCAATAGCCAACTGCAGAAAATTGGGATTTGCTGCATTTTTTGCAGCCAGAGTTTCGTTCTGGCCAAATGCTGAGCAGATTCCCAGTGCTTTTACTGCGTGGCATCACCAGATCAGCAATAGCATGGTCCATCAAAGGAGTCCCCAGCCCTTCTTGCTTCTCTTTAGGAGAGGAGTATCTCAGTGTCTTAAAGCTGGCTCTTATTGTCTGGGGCCTGGAGGTTTTATGTTGAGGAGGAAGAGGTGTGGACAGTGCAGCATGACATGCTCCATTAGCATCTGGCCAGCTGACTCTGAGCAGTCACTTGGACTCCACTCCTTCATTTATGTAAGCTGTCTGAGGGACCAGTCATTTGGGCCACACGCAGTATTTTCCTGCCAAAAAGTTGAGCTTGTCTTCCCACACCCATTCAAGTGTTTGCATTCAAGGTTTCCAAACTGATTTCTGTTAATTCTGACAGAATGTGGCAAATGGAAAACCATGAATTTCCCTCTTGGTCGACCGTTAGGCTCTGCAGAAAGTGATGCCAGGGCAAGCCAGAATAGCCATGTCTGCCCTATGAAGCAGGAAGTGTGAATTGGTGTTTGGGGCCTTATTCATGTGCTGGAAAGAAAAAGCCTAACGTGCTTTCAAGAAATGTGGGCAGATTCATCTTCTCACAGGGAAGCCACCAATTTGAGTTCCTGTTCAGAGGCACTTCTGAGGAAGGCTGCTGCTGGGTTCTAGCAGATGTGGCTGAGAAATATGTGGCTGGTAATTTGCAAGGAAGCTCTTAGATCTTAGCATATGAAAGGAAAGGGCTCAATCAGGATTCTTGAGAGACAGTTTGAAAACCTGTAATAAAAAGCACTCAGGGAGGTGTCAGACAGATGAGCTAAATGCTGATTTATTAACCCGTTTTTGTTGGGGAGGTAGTACGTGTGGTCTGGAAAAACAGCCTGATAAACAGTTTATATAAATAAAGCTGCAATCCTTATCTGCCTTCTTACATGCTCAAGTGCCAACAGTTGAGCTAGTATAACAACCAGCTTTAATGGTGAATGTTAAAGATATGGCTTAATGATAGAACTTTAGTTAGTAGTACTCTTGGAAGGCCTGAAGCATCTAAGTGCTTAAAGATGAGCTCTGCCATCCAGGAGGATATGCTGTTCCTAAGCCTGTAGCAGGAGGTCATGCACTGCAAATGTAATTTGCTGCATAACATTTTTTTGCTGCAGTTAAAGGGCTGCAATTTAAATTGTTATGTTGATCTGGAAATAAATCTGTAATGAGATGAGATGCCTTTGCTTCCTTTTTTGCCTTCCCACCATCACCAGACTTTTATTCCTTCTGTTGGCCATCCTGGAGGACTGAGAGTAGTATGAGCTGACCTGGGATTTCCTTTAATTCGTTTTTCAGTGATGTGCACTGAGAAGCTAGAAAATTAATTGGAAAACTCAGCCCTGCTGACCCAGCCATCAAGTTTCTGGATTTTCTTAGAGTTTTACTTCTTCTAGAAGTACTTGTCTGCCTTCAGCACAGGTTACTTCTCTGGTATGATTAGCCAGTAGCTGGAGAAGGGCTGTTGCCTCCCTCTTTGTCTCTCTGCCAAGATGCCGAGCAAGATGAAAGCCCATACAGTTAGAAAAAAAGCAGCATCGGGCAAAAGCTAATGGAAGGGAATGTTCCTGACGCCATGCGTGTGGCTGATGTGATGAGATGCTGTGCAAGCAGTCAGTGCTGGCTGAGCTGAAGAGAGGACAGAGGGCCAGCTTTTAGGAAATAAAGATTGCTCAAGGAACAACTGCACTAAATGTAAGCTGAGTTCACAAAGCCGGAGGACGCACTCGCTGTGACTTTGGTAGGATTGGGGTCAGCCTTTGAGCAGTTGGCTGGTGGGTATGGAATTGGCAAGGAGTGTTCTAACCAGCTAATGTGCAGCCTTGAGATCGGAACAGCAATTTACTATAGACCAGCCTTCTGTCCTCAAAGAGTTCAGAAGCAGTAATCTTGTAACACCCATACATACCTCTGTTGTTCTTCGCATTGTAGATAATTTAAGAGTGTTTTGTCTATGGCAGTGTTTATTTTAACGTAGTGATTCAGTAAAACTAGAAATGCTTCTTACAGTCACCACTAACACAACCCAGCTTCCTACGCAGCATAACCTTTGGTTTCAGAAGAACATAAAATGTCCTGTAGGGAACTGTGTTTTTCTTGTTTACATACGCGTGTGAGTGCCTGAGGGACTTAACACAATAGGACATAATTAAACACAGACGATGAAACTGGATATTGTTTAGATGAACATGGAGCAACCCCTTGTTTATCAGCTGAGTCCCTTTGTCTATGAGAGGATGAAGTGGGGAATGTTACCACACAGAATCCTCAAGCCGTGCCCTCTGCATTTCCTGGTTAGAAGGGCTCACAGGGAGGTTATCCACCAAGGATCTTTACAAAACAAAATATGTGTCAGAATATACTCATGGAATAATGTAGAGATTTAAAATGTACACATTGTATGTTTTTTTTTAATTGTCTTACCAGTGAATAGTATGTTCCTAACAACAGCAGTATCTTCTATGATTTGGTGAGTGTGGGACCTCTCTGGCTAATGTTGATACTGAGGAATGCAGAGTTTTACCATCTGATTTTCCTTTTGTTCCTTCGTTGCCCACATAGAACCTGAAATTGGGGAAAGCCAATATATCCACCAGCGATAACACAAAAAAGAGGTCCTGTTATTCTTGGATTCACTGAGAAGTTGCTTGTATTCCTGCTCTTTCCCATGGTAGTGCATTGCTTTGGCTGAATTGCAGTGGCCCTGCCTGCAGATCGATCTCCCAGTGTGCAGATGTGGGAACTGCACTGGATTTAAAGCATTAAGGACAGCATGAAAAAAAGCCACCCTGCAGGAAACTTGGAAGCAGTATTAGCAATTGGGAAGGGAAGGATGCAGTGGTTCTCCTCTTACCCACTCCCCACTCCCCCCCCACTGGTTTCCTTTGGAAAATCTAACTTAATTGGAACAGTGTGGTTCTTATGCTCATGCTTTTTCCTCCTGTGTTCTTTCAAAGATGTGTTTGGATCCATTCAGTGTGCGGCATCCCTGCCTGTCTCACGCATGGGTTTGGAGCAGAAATGTCTTTTTCAGGAGCTGAGCTTCTCCCAGAGGCAGCACCCACCCAGGCACAGCTGGCCGGGAGGGAGTGGTTTGCAGTTGTGATACCAAAAGTGACATACTGAAAATTAATTCCCTGCCAGCATGTAATGCTCATGAGTCAAACCCAGGTGCTGGGTAGAGTGTTCTGTCCCGTCGTCCCTTACACAAAGCAGGAAGATTTTCAGAGTGGGATCTTCTTGTTTTTGGTGTTCTTAACAGTGGAGTCCTTCTGCTATAAGCCCATGTGTCATGACGCCTTACTTTTTCTTGAGGCATTTATTTAAAATATTTAAAATATTTTAATATATTTAAAAACCTTGGCAATTCTCTTTAGAAGTCTGATCCTGTGAAGTGATGGCCATGCTGCTGCCAGGCCTGCTGGCCCCAGGAGTCCTGTTTGGAAAACACCTCACGTGCTGCTGAGCAGAGGGCTAGGGCCAGAAAGAAATGAGCTGCTGGGCTCCTTTCTGTGCCTTAAGTGATTATACAAATGGCTATATTGCTTGACTAACCTGTGTGCTCTTTCTGTTGCTGACAGGGAAGGCCGCTCTAATGCCCACATTAAAGGAGGTCACCAAAGAATCGGGGATGTTATGCTAAAGAACATTCAGAATATGAAGGTAGGAATGATCTCATAACTATTATGTTTTCACATGGATTAGGATGAGCCTGCATTTCATTTTTGTGTGATGTTGCCTGCTGTGCTGGGTTTCGCCAGTTGTAATCAAAGCTTATGCTATACATGTTTCCTTCGATGAAGTATCATGTGTTTGGGGAGCACTGGGATTGCAGAATTGCAAGCTGACTAAACTTCTCAGCCTTTTTCCTCAACTCCCTCTCCAAATTTAGGAACAGTCAGAGTCACAGCATGGCTTGGGCTGGAAGGGACCTCAGAGATCGTTTAGTTCCAAGCCCCTAACAAAGGCAGGGTTGCCAACCACAAAATCAAGCACTAGATCAGGGTCCCATCCAACCAGCCTTGAGCATCTCCAGGGATGGGGCACTCGCAGTTGCTCTGGGCAGCCTCACTGCCCTCTGAGTGTAAAATTTCCCCCTGGCATCTAACCTAAATCTCCACTCGTTTAGTTTAAAACCAATCCCCCTTGTATTATCACTATCTGCCTATGTAAAAGGTTGATTTCTCTCCTGTTTATAAGCTCCCTTTAATTACTGGAACAATAAACAGAGTTTGAAGAGAATGTAGTTTCCAGTTCTTTATTCTTGCAAGTAACACATCAGAATTTGTATGTCTGAAGAGGATCTTCAGAAGCCAACTGTTCCCACTTGTGTATGCAAATAAAAGTATTTAAATATTGCAGGAGCATTGACCTTAACCTGGGTTCTGGTTTGATTTTGAGAATTTCTACTTGTGCACCACAGCACCAAGTAAGATGAAAAATTCTTGAATGAATGAGAATAATTAGTTCTCAGTTCTTTAAAGCTTAAAGCCAAAGAACGTGTGTGAGCAGTGTATGTAAAGCTTGGCGTTAAGAAGGACAGACGGATGTGTGGAGAGGTTAAATGACATGGAAGTCATTACAGAATGAGTAAAAGGGAACACAGAAATCCTGATGTACAGCCTCCGACACACAGGCGGCTTTGTCACCAATACAATAGGAGCAGCTTTTTCCCATCAAGGCCCAACTCGGATGCCTCAGAAGAAACACAGGGGGCTTTCCTACACCCCACCCCTCCTCTCAAAAGGGGCACACCTTTATACAGTTTTTGGAACCACAGGAAGCTTTTGACAAATTGTCTTTCTGCTTTCAGTACCTTGTAGTATTAAGTGTTGTCCTTGGTTGTCTGATCTGGTCCTTCTGCACCTGGTCTAAGGATTCTATACAATGTAATGTAAACCCGCTGGCTTGCTTTCACCTTCACTGTTCTCTTTCCCATTAGAGGATTTTGTTCCATTTGCTTTGATAACTATTACTGATAAGCACAGATACATGGAATAAAGGGGCAAAACCCAGTTTGACCTTAGGAACTGCCTAGAAAGTGATAGAGTTAGTTAAAACTCTATATCTTTGTCATGAGCCCTGTTAAAACACCCAAAAACTGACAATCCTTGTTTAATTAGCACAGGAGGAAAATCAGGAACAAATAACTAATGGGCAGCCTCTGAAGTTGTCCTGAGGATCTGCAGTATCTTTGTAGGGTGAATACACAGTGTATGGGGGAAGCAGCTTGCCTGCAGAGATACGATATTTCCAGGAAAGATACCACATATCAAAGGGAAAGGGAATGGATTGAAAATGTGTCAAGAATCAGGAGCTTTAGATTAAACCCAACTATTTTCTGAAGTCCGTTCAGGATACCCATTTAATTTTGTTTTGTTGCTGGATGATATTCTACCAAGTGTTGGAAAACCTTATCTAGCTGCTCAGAGAAGCTCTGTGCTGCCTGAGGAATCTATTTACCTTTTGCAAAATACAAACAAAACCCTTGTGTTACTTGGTTAGAAAAAAAAAAAAAAAAAAAAAAGCCAAAAAACTGCTTTTTGTTTAATCTAAAATTGTTTTAGATGGGACCCAGCAGAGTCTGTGGTACTGTAATCTAAGTGGAATTGTGTATTCCTTGCAAACTTCAGTCACTCACTGATGCATAACTACTGCTGCCCGTGAGATCATGTTATGAACTGCACTAAGCAGTAGAGGATGTAAGGCAAGGATGGAGCATTCTGACTTAGCCATTTCTGCCACCAATTCCAGTATATTTTGTTCAGAATCCCAGGAGATGCAATTTCTCATTAATAATAGGGGTACAGAAGCTAGAGATCCAGTTGCATGTCTCAGTTTTTCAAAGGCACCAAAGAGATGCCGCACCTAAATACCTGCATCCTCTATGAAATCCAATTTTGTTTCCTGCTACTGTGTCCATGCTGTCTCTCTCTCTGTTGCTCCTGCTTGTATGAGCTGTGTTCGTGTCATCTCTTTGCCTTTGGATTTCTCATTGATGTGAGACAGTTAGCTCTGTTCACTCATGTGCTTTGTCTTATGGGGAATGCAGAGGGGATGAGGGATGTACTTCACACTAGTCATGATATTTCTTCTTTTCAGATACATATCAGAGCCACTGTGTTGCACAGTGATTTTGTTTGCAAAATCCCAGTGGCTATGATAGATTTTTTTCTGGTATAGGTGTGGGTGAACGGTTGTGAGTCACATCTCAGTGTTTGCTAATAGCTCTACCATATGCTTTTTCTTTCTTTGTGGCTATTAAGCAACTGACAATTCACCTGTGGAAGCACGATGAGATTTTAACTGAGTTGGAGAATGGAATCAAGAACTCTCGCAAGCTGGAGACCTTTTGCAGGGACTTTGAGCTACAGAAAGTTTGCTACTTGCCTCTCAATACCTTCCTGCTCAGACCTTTACACAGACTTATGCACTACAAGCAGATAATGGAGAGGCTTTGCAAACATTACCCACCAAACCACACAGATTTCAGGGATTCAAGAGGTAAGCAAGGCATAAGACATCAATTCCCAGAGCTGGGAAATGTTGGAGATGCATGTACAAACAATTTTTTTTGTCTTACAGCCTAATTAAAACAGGGTTGAGTTGCGAAATCAATCACTCAGAAGGCCAGAAGCAGTAGGATTAGAGTTGCACTCGTATACACATTATGGCACACTGTGGACAAACACTTGGAAGAGAAATCTGCTGGGGGTTATTAAGTACACAGAAACGACATGCAGTTCAGGAAGTCCCTTAAGCTGAAAATAGTTGGGAGAGAACATGGAGGATATGCCAGATGTGCTAATTTTATTGTCAGCTTTCCCTAGATATCTGCTGGTAACAGAGAGTATTGGCCCAGGTGAACCCTTGATCTGACCCCACGTGGCTGCTTGTTGTTGTGTCTTAACACAGTCTTAAGGAGAATATTATTTTTCCAGGTGGACACTTTGTTCTATTACAACTTCCACGATTTGTTTCAGGAACTCAAAGCTGCCAACCTATTGGGGTGGTTTTTTTGATGGTGGTGTTTATTCTAAATGTGAATAAATTCTCCTCCTGTAGTCTGAGGTCACTGCTTTTTTTTTTTTTTAATTTGCTTTCCTCTTTGTATATGCTGGTATCCCATCCCACTGTGTACTGTCTCCATTTGAAGATAACTGTTACCTGCATGGTTGCCACTCAGTGCAGGATGTGGGCAGGGGGCTGTGCTCAGTGTGGCCGCTCCCAGCTACACAGTATTAGCTGAGCTGACTGGCTGCATTCCCTTGGCTGCTGTGCATGGAGAGCCGTGTAGGCAGTGCACAAAATATGGAGGTAACTTGACCTGTGGTAATAAGAACTGCCACAGTAGTCTGTGTGACAAAAATGCTTGCCTAAATGTAGCTACTGCCTGAAAGAGCTCAAGAAGTTAAGGTCTTTGCTTCCAAAGACTATAGAGGTCATCATTTACTGAAGTGATACTGGATTATTCTGTGTTTCCAGGGTTAACTATTGTAGGACATGTTCATGCCAATCTACATGTATATACATGCATATACATACATATACATACATATACATATATATATATATGGAAAGTAACCATAGAACAATCATCAAAATACTAAAGTCTGGAAAACATCTGCTAAAATGGGATTTGAAAAGTTCGGTCTGTTGGGACCCACACTTGTTTTATAAGCATTGTCATAACTGGCTCATTTGTGATCTTGGAAATAAACTTGTGATTCTGTGACTTCTCCCAGGACAGAAGAGGGAGAAACCAGCATGGGAAGGGACAGCAACCCCAGGTGCCTTGTCAGTGATGCAGAGGTTTTTTCTTCCTTGTAGTTTTTTTAACATTTATTTAAAAATAGCCTATCCTTTTGGATGTATCCAGATTGTGCTGATGGCACTGGGAGCCAGTCTGTGAGCTGATCCCCCAGAAAAGATAAAGTGATGAAGTGATTTTGTGCCTAATTCCCTAAGTTAGTTAGATAGTAGAACCTCTTCAGTGATGCTGTAATTTGACTTGAGTATCTCTAGTTTCTGTAGCTGAAGTAGAGCAAACTTTCAGATGGAGAAATGGTCTGTATCTTTACTATACAACTGTCCACACTCAACAAGATGATGCCCAGAGTTTATAAGGTTTTCAGTCTGCCTGAGTAGGTTTACTCTGTGAAGGAAAAGGGTATCCCGAGGATGAGTGGTGCTCACGAGTTGCTTTCTGCAGAGAGAAGTCTTTCTTTTTAAATATTTTTTGTAAATTTATAAAAAGCATTTTATGGTTTTGTTTCTCTAGCTGCTTTGGCTGAGATTACTGAAATGGTGGCACAGCTCCATGGCAATATGATAAAGATGGAGAACTTCCAGAAGCTGCATGAACTCAAGAAAGACTTGATAGGCATTGACAATCTGGTGATCCCAGGAAGGGTAAGTAGCAGGATGGTGATTGAGGTGTGATGCCATTTCAAAGCATTAGATGTATTTTAGAAATCTGGTTCCTAGGAGCATCTGTCAGACTGCCTTTCCTCATATGAACATTTTTCTCTCACCAAAAACTGTTGTATGTAAACATAATAATACCGTAGAAAACAGCAGTCTTCAAAGCAGGAAGAAGCTATCATCTTTATTATCTTTTTACAGATTTTATTACGGTATCTTATATATAGATTTGGATGGCTGTAGGCAATTCCAAATGTCTATTACAGGAGGCAGTAAAAATGCAATATTTATCACAGCATTCAGAGCTTGAGCATTTCCTCATTTCTTTCTGCCCTTTATTCTCTCTCTTTTTTTTCTCTACCCAATCATCAGTGCTATAGCATAGCAGATTAAAGAGAAGCAAGACATTTGTGCTGGAGGACCTTCAGCCTGGTCACGATGCCTGGCTCTGAAACTCATGACCCTGAGGACAAGCAGTCTCTTTAGTCTACATGTAATGTTAGGCGATGATTTTTGAGACAGTGTTGCCTTAAGTAAACACTTTTAATTGTGTTATAAAAATACGGACGTCGCTTCCATTTTTCCTGCTGTACTGTTTTAAAAACAGAGGCTTATTTCAGTATAAGTGGCCCTCTGCAGAATTTGTAGCCTTTTCTGCTTTTCTGTGTACATATATCTGTGCATTCGAGCTTGAGAGTTGTCTGTTGTCAAAGTGCTTTTCTCCCCACTCCCCTGACTTCTCTGTGTAATACACAGAAACACGACTTGCGACAACAGAAAATGCGTTGCTAGTCTGTTCTTGCCCCTCGTGCATTTTGTGAAATAGATGGAAAAAAACCAAGTGAGTTTTGTGTTGAATTGCAAATGCAGCAGTGCTTTAAGGCACCCTGTGGCCTGAGATCTGCTCACAGTGCCATTTCCTTGCCTTGTGCTACTGTGGGGTTATACAAGAGGCTGCTCATGGCACACCTGTGCTCGTGTTTATGTAAGAATTTACGTATTTAAGGGAGCTGCACACAGGTATTTTGGCTAGCAGGCTCTGGCAGATGCCCGTGGGTTGCTGTTCTCCAGGCTTTGTGCTGCTGGGCCAGATGCAGGCCAGGCTGGATGCAGTGCTGCCGGGCCACTGCTGCCGTTGGCTGGGCTGCCCAGAGGAGGCCCCATGCCATGTCTCTGAGGAGAAATGCTTGCCAGGCCAGTGATCAGCTGTCCTCAACACGGCTTCAGGGAGCCACTGTCCTTACTGTGCCCCAGCCTGTTGCTGCCATCCTGGTTCCTGTGCTGGGTGGTAAAGCATCCCACAGTCGGTTCTGCTTGCAGATGGCAGTGACCCACAGCTCTTCTGTGAGCTCGTGCAGTGCTTGGCTGTGGTGAAGCTGAGGCTGTTGGTGACCATTAGGTATTACAACATAAACAGTGATTGTGTTTAGTATGCTTTGGTGGTCAGCAAAGGCTTCCAATGGTCTCTCTGGCACCGTGAGCTTACTGTGATAGAAGGGACAACATTCTCTAGGCACCTCTACTTAAAGTAACTTTCACTTAAGATAGACTGGACACATCAGAGCAACCTTAAGGCTAAGGAGCATCTCTCGGAATAGATTAATCTTCAAGAGCCAGTTTGTTGCTAAGCTGCAGGTGTTTCTGGTGCTTTATCTGCCTTTTACATGCACAATAGGAGTAAAACAACCCTCAGAAGACTGTAATAAATAAATATAAATCTCTTGGCTGGAAGGAGTGACTGAAAAATGATGTTTTGATGGGTTTCAGATACGTGGGAAGGTGGGTTATATTATAGTTCACAACAAACCCAGGCAATCCCAGACCTTTGAAAATTGAGATTGGGCTATTCTTCCTCTACTTTAACCCCTAGACATCACTTAACAATTTGATCTGAATGCCCTGTATAACTTCACGGAGCCTGCACTAGGATAACACATGCTGCCAGATCCATTTCCCTCTTTTTATGCTGCTGACATGGATTTGTTCATCAAGTAGTCATGTTTAATTTTGCATATTAATAAATCATGAACATTTTTGCAAAAAAAAAAAAAAAAAAAAGAAGCCTATTTGTTTTGTATTTCCTTCCTACAGGAGTTCATTAGACTGGGCAGCCTTAGTAAGTTGTCTGGAAAAGGTTTACAGCAACGCATGTTTTTCCTGGTAAGCAAGAAGGCATTTTTTTTATTTATATATTGAAATGTAACTATAGGCAACTATTAAGCAAACTGTTAAACTTGAATGTGATTTACAGTATTTTTAAATGGTCGTTTATCAACATAATACGTGACCTCACTGGTTGTTAAGAACATGTTCCTGTCCAAAACCAATACTCTCTTTGTGACTGCTTCTTACAAAGGTAACACTGTTATTTTCATATGCCACTGTGAATACCATGTTAAAATAATACTTCCTAGCAACATGGTCTTAAATAAAAGCGGAGTCATTAAAAAAAAAAGAAAGTGGCACCAGGGTTAGTGAACATATCCCAAAAAGAAGATGAAAGGTAACTCCTGGTGATGTAAAAAATGATCCCCATAATGCTCTCAGGACACATTACAGAGCCACGTTTCTCCACAAACCGTCCAGTTCCAGCCCATTTACCTGGAGATAGATTGAGAAATTCCTGCACTAGGAAGGATCATAGAATAGAATACAATCATTAAGGCTGGAAAAGACCTTTAAGATCATCTAGTCCAACTCTCCATCTACCACCAATACTGCCCACTAAACCATGTTTCTCTGTACTTACATCTACACATGTCTTGGACACCACCAGGCACGGTTACTCCACCACTTCCCTGGGTGGCCCCGTCCCTTCCAGTCCCTCACCACTCTTTCAGAGATATTTTTTCTCACCCCATTTTCAGGATGGTGTCTCCTCTCCTCTCTTCTGGAAACTGATTTGTTCCCAGGAACCCAGCACTGCTGTGACTCAGCCATTGATGCGGGGGGATTAGGATGCCCAGTGGAGTTAGTGGATTTTACAGTCCAGGGGTATGGGGCAGAATATGAAAGCGTAAGTGCAGCAGGAGAGGAAAACTCTTCCTTGGCTTCTTGTGGGCAAAAGGGGAAGACTGTGTCCAGAAAAACTTGTAAGCATGCTAGATTTTATGAAACATTCAATATTTGCTCTCTCAAATGAGCGCAACAAAAAACCAGCAGTTTTGTCTTGGTGGGATTTTGCTCTAGCTTTAAAGGCAATAGAATGGGAGCCTAGTGAATGCGCTGCTTATTTTCTTGCATACCACTGTTGTTCTTACCAAATGATTCCTTGATATTGTATAAAATGTTAATAGATCAAGACACGACTCTTAAGTCAGTCGTAGTTTTTGGCAGTTACCCACACTGTCAAAGAAGTCTTTCATCTGCCTTAATCACCAGAATCTTTTTTGGAGATAAAAACCCGAATCAATTTTCTGTGACTCCAGCTTCATGTGTAATTATTGGCAAAATAAAATCCCCCTCTAGTGGCCGGTCTGTATCACTTCATGAATTATTGCTGTTGGGTTGTACAGCACTGTAGTGAGAGTTATGCTTTCTACCACAAAGAATTATTTTCTTGATGCATCTGTAATGTTTGAGAAGAACCTCTTTTAACCATGGCCAGTGATGACTGACCACTTGTATGATAACAGCACACAACATAATGCAGCTCAACATTTGATAATTGCCTAAAGTCATCTACTTGGAAGCAGGTTTTGCAGCTTCTTCCTGAATATGTGGAGTGTGAGGTAGCCAACTAAAGAGTAAGGTTAGACACCTCTCTCTTGAGGCCACGCTTTCTTATCTTCCCACACAAATCAGAAAAAAAAATCTGTGATGAAACAGGCTGATCTTCCTCTACTTCACAGTGCTGCAGAGTGTGGAATGTTTTATTTGGTTTTACTGCTGTGCCTTGTTAGTTTTGACCCAGAGATTAAAAAGAAATGAAATATTAGAAGATGTGAAATGGAAAATTATCGGAATATGCCTGAGATTAGCTGGGAAGGAAGGCAGGGATAGCAACACGTAATACGGGGATGGTGTGGAAGCCAGTATTTACTCTTCAACTTATATTATTATTATAACAATATTATATTATATTATACATAACATATATTATATTATAACAATATTATCAATGACATCGTTGATGGGCTTGAGTGTACCCTCAGCAAATTTGCCAGTGACACCAAGCTGAGTGGTAAGGTTGACACATTAGAAGGAAGTGAAGCCATCCAGAAGGACCTCAACTCGAAAGGTTGGCCCACGTGAACCTCATGAGGTTCAACATAGCAAAGTGCACGGTTCTGCACTTGGGTTGGAGTAACTCCAGAGAAGGACATGGGGGTTTTGGTGGATGAAAAACTGAACATGAGCCAGCAGTGTGCTCCTGCACCTTGGAAGGCCAATGGTATCGTGGGCTCCATCAGAAGAGGGCTGGCCAGCAGGGGCAGGGAGGTGATTGTCCCTCACTACTCTGCCCTCATGAGACCCAATCTGGAGTGCTGCGTCCAGGCCTGGGGCCCCCAGTACAGGAAGGACATGGAGCTCTTAGAGCGGGTCCAGAGGAGGGCCACTAAGATGATCAGAGGGCTGGAGCACCTCTCTTGTGAAGACAGGCTGTGGGAGCTCGGCTTGTTCAGCTTGGAGAAGAGATGGCTGTGAGGAGACCTCATTGCAGCCTTCCAGTATTTAAAAGGAGATAATAAAAAGGGGAATCAACATTTTATTCCGATAGATAATGATAGGATAAGGGAGAATGTTTTTAAGCTCAAGGAGGGACGGTTTAGTTTAGATGTCAGGGGGAAGTTCTTCACAGAGAGAGGGGTGAGGTGCTGGCACAGACTGCCCAGAGAGGTTGTGGATGTTCAAGAGGTGTTCAAGGCCAGGTGGGACGGGGCCCTGGGCAGCCTGGTCTAGTACCAGATCTGGAGGTTGGTGGCCCTGCATGTGGCAGTGGAATTGGAACCTGATGATCCTTGAGGTCCCTTCCAACCCAGGCCATTCTATGATTTTGGATTCATGCATTAGGACTGCCAGTACTCATTAGTTTTCTGGTATTTACTATTTTGATTATTATTTTTTCTACGTGTATGTTTTCGTAGTTCTAATAATGGTTTTTCTTGCTTTTTAGTTTAATGATATTTTATTGTACACAAGTAGAGGCCTGACAGCATCAAATCAGTTTAAAGTCCATGGGCATCTGCCACTGTATGGCATGACAGTAAGTACTGTAAGAGCTTGTATTCTTGCTTACTTGGTCATGTAAGGTCCCATCTTAATTGCTTGCTCCATTGCTTGTGGAGTGAGAGCAGTAGCAAGGGGTTGTTCTCAGGTTTAGAGAAGTTGTGGGTTTGTTCTACGGTTTCAGCAGAGGCAAGGCACAGTGCTCGGTAGGTCTGTGCTGGGTTCAGCATGTGGTCTTGAAACCTTCTGTGCAAAGGTTGTTGCATGGCAAAAATGAAAAAGGACGTCTGGGGGGACAGCTTCCTCATAATGCAGAATAATTTTTGTGAGGTTGGACCTTTATTTTTTTTAAATCACAAATTTAAATCACACCACGGTTCTTTCCAGTGATTAATCACCAATTGCTCATAGGCATACTGTTGGAGGCAAATAATCATTAGCAATGATTTCATTTCTGTGGAAAAATTATTTCCTAACATTTCTGTCTGCGTATCTTAAAGCTGAGGCAGTGGGAGACTGCAGGCAGCAGTGCGTCATTCAGAGCCCTTTTGCAGTTCTCCTTGCAAATAGGCAGTTTAAGCTCAGTAGCACCTCGTTAGCACTACCCCTTCTTGCAGTATGATTTAGGAAATATTTTTTTTCTAGTTTCAAAACTTCAGTTTCCCCCTGTATTTTCCCTGGAGCTTCTCATGTTCTTGTATGTATTTCGTACTGTTAGATAATCAATACCACAGGTAACTATTTTCTCTCAACACCTCTTGCTGCCCCCCAGTGGTAAGAGTTTGCTCAGTTCACCGTTCCAGCTTAAGTAGTAATTACTTGCTACAGTCTGATTGTATTTTGATTTTTCTCTCTCAGATTGAAGACAGTGAAGAGGAATGGGGGGTTCCTCATTGTCTAACATTGCGAGGTCAACAGCAGTCCATAATCATTGCGGCAAGGTAATTTGATGGAGACAGCCTACATAGTTACTGTTGAACTGTAAACTGTCCTTCTCTGTGGCTTTCCCACTGTGGTGTGAACAGGTAGGTGAGCCAGTAGATGTTGTTTTGTTGGGATTTGCTGCTAAAACAATTTCCAAGGCATATTCTTCCACAAAGCCACAGAAAGCCAAAACAAAAAATAAAAAAGCAAATGAGACAAAATAGAGTGGCAGTTGTGCAAGGCAGAACAAAAGCTAAATTATTTGAAAAGCAGTTAGCTTCTCAGGTCTTTATTTGAATTAAAAGGAAGCTCAGCTTAGCACTGTTTCTTCGAGCTTGCTTTCAGCCTGGATGAGAGTAATTAAAACCTGAGTTTTCATTGTCAGTACCCGCGCTGAAATGGACAAATGGATTGAGGACATTCAGATGGCAATAGACCTGGCAGAGAAAAGCAGCGACCCTGCCCCCGAGCTGCTGGCCAGCAGCCCCCCTGACAACAGTAAGTAAATGCTGGAGAGGAGGTTTGGTTAATTTCAGTCGGTACAGTTGGCGACTGCTTCTAAGCAGAGTGGTGAAATATGCTGTCCACAAGTCAGGTTAATGCATTTGAAGCTGAGGGATGCATATATTTATGTGTCTGCCACTGTAATGTTCTTACTGGTGTTAGCAGAAAGTTTCACTGAATAGGAAAGTGATTTGAGCATAATGATGTCAGGAAGTGTTTTACGAGACTTGGGCAATGCCTGTCCTTGTAAGGCATTAAAAACACCAACCAGACACGGTGGTCTTTGGCAGAAAGATGTAAAAATAACCTAGTGAGCATCTCTGCAAAACTGTTTCTAAAAGTGTACTGGTTCACCACCTTGTGACCAGATTTGATTTGTTTAATTTTTCCGATTACATATGTTGTTGCATAGAAGAAGAAAGATGCTTTCTCCCTGCATTTCATAGAGTCTCCTGATGAAACTACTGTAGACCAGGAATCTGAGGACGACCTCAGTGCATCCCGCACCTCACTCGAGCGTCAGTCACCACACCGTGGCAACACTACGGTGCACGTCTGCTGGCACAGAAATACCAGCGTTTCAATGATCGACTTTAGTATTGCTGTGGAGGTATCGGCCTCAGAACCGTCTGCGCTGCAGCTCCAGACACTCTCTCCAATGACAATTTCCTTTTTGCTCCTCCTTAAAGAAGTGCAGTGTTCCTTGTTTTCTTCTCGGGGACGTTGCAGGCGCACTGCTAAACTGCTCCTGTACCTCAAACGGCAGCACGAGTTCGTCAGTCCAGGCACACTTCACTGCCTTAGTGCATCTTTTTAAAATCAATTAGAGCAGTAATTTTCTGGAAGAACTGTCCAAAAAGTGCTGATGGTCTTTAAAACTTAAAGCGGATCAAATGGCCTTAATGCTGTCATTTATAGAGGCATTAAGTCATTGCTCGAGCTGAAAGGATATTGTCTCTATCTGCTGCAGCCAGGTTTGGTTATATGTAGTACTAACTTCTGTTTCTTTACCCAGCCATCCTTTCTGGAACCTTCTCTCATTGCTCAGTCTCAGTCTCATCTGCTTTTTGGTTTTTTTTTGCATTTTTTACCACAAAGTAAATACCTTTCTTGTTTCCCTGATCACAGCTGTGTCCATCTGATACACGTTCCTTAACCCAGCGCTCAGTGAATGAGAGCCACAGTTGGACTTCCCCCATAGTGAAAGGAAAGACTCTTAGGGCCCTGTTGATTTCAGGCTGAGGTGTGTGGGTGTCCCTCCTGCACCAGAGGGACACCGCAGGGACCTCAGACTGCTTTGTCATGGTTCTCATCATGTGGAAGTGTGCACTCAGTGGAAGAGGTGAAAGCATCACATGGAAGTGTGTGCTTAATGGAGATGGTGCTAGGGACCTCAAAACTCAATTGACCTCTCCTCCCGGGCAGCCCAGAGGTACCAACTCCTTACTGCTCTGGAGGGGACACCCTGACTCAGAGCTAAGGACAGATAGTGTTCAGTTTGTGAAACTGCCCCTGATTTTAGCAGAAGAGTTGCTGAAACTTTATCCAAAAAATGATTCCCTGTAAGAAAACACTAACTACAGAGCCTCATGGTGCTCCTGTGCAGGTGCAGTTTCTGCTCTTTCTGCCCTTAAGTCCTGCAAAGGTGGAAGAGCTCAGCATGGAACCAGGTCTCACATTTTTCCCTAAAGCATAGGACTTGCTATAAACAGATATTGAATAATTTTTAGCTGACAATTAGTTCAAACAGTTGAAATGTTTAGTTAGGCAAACCTCCCTACCCAGCATCAGAGCTCATTGCTCTTCAGTTTTGTTCTTCCCCGTGACTCAGCCAAGTGCAGGCACAGCAGTGAGGACCATGGAGCACACTGGAGTAATTCACTGTTGTATGAAAGCATCTCCAGCTCCACCACTGCTCAGTGTCTGCAGCTCACGCTCATGCTCACATCATTCTCTCAGTGCCTTTCACTTCAGCATTACCGTTCATTTTCTTTGTGTCTCTCCCTCCTCTCTGTCTCTCCCGTGTTAGAAGATCCTCTCTCTGTCAGTGACTGTACTTCCCTACCTGCTGGACTGATCAGTGACCAGCGACCTGTTTCCATTTCATGTATCTGCTGGTACCGAATGCAAAGCCTGTCCTTTTATGATATCCTCCAGAGTGACGAGGTAACAGCAAATGAAGGAGTGTGCCTGTAACTTAGGTCACAGTGTCAGCAGAGCATGGCATTATCCGATGTAAAGGCCTTAATGCACACCCCAGGCTGGTGACTACTTAGTTTGTAGTAGGTGAATTGGGACCACCAGACTCGGAGCATTAAGCATTACAGATTAAATTATCAGTTTCTGCGCTGTTATGTGAACAGTTGTTTTGATCCTGATGATAGTGAAATGCTTGGTATTCCTCCTCCCTGCTGTAAAATACCCAAATCCAGCTCAGAACAAGGTGAATAGTCGGTGTGTTTGACAAGTTCCCGTGTTAACTTGCTGTGTGCTGAGAGCTTGACCTCTGTCTGCGGTGCTGAAGTACGTCATGATTTTCCTTTGCATCCCAAATTCATGTCAGCCTTTCTGTTTCCATTGTTCTATTTAAGTATCATTTGAAAAGAACACGGATGAAGGTAACGAGACTGACTGATGGTTGCCAGTACATTATTGATGGCCACCACAATTTAAAAAATACAACCATAGTAGTTGGAAGTTTCTGGAAGTACCCAGCTACAAACACGTATTACAGAGTACTGCTTAGTTGTAGAAAAACGCATTCATTTGGTCAGAACACCTTCGCTTGTGGTAAGGCCACATATGCTAAAAGCAGATCATTGTTCTTAAGGTGATTAAACCGCGGCCAGCCCTCACTTAAGGAGTGATGGGTACTTCTGGTCCTGTGCTTACTGCCAAAGTGATGGCATTCAGTAAGTTAAGCAGAAATGCAAACATCCATTCTGTGGAGCTTGGCTGCTTTTCATCTGCTCATACATCTCTGCAGTGTGCATTTTACTGCTTTATTTGACTACTTCTGATCTGTTTCAGAATCAGCTGTCTGGAAACCTCCTGAGGAAATTCAAGAACAGCAACGGGTGGCAGAAGCTTTGGGTTGTGTTCACCAACTTCTGCATGTTCTTCTATAAATCGCACCAGGTAACACGGCTGGGTAGGGCTTTCTGTTTCCAGTGTGGGAGCAGGGAGAGCAACCATCATCAGTGGTGGATTCTGCCCCCTTGGGACAGAGAGCAGTTCTGACTGCCCGTCTCCACGGAAGCCACCGTGGTTGTTTCATGACATTTCTAATGGAGAGCCTTAAAAGACTGCATGTCTGTTCTCCATTTCACTTACATGCTTCCTTTGCTTGAGAGCAGTTGATCTCACAGCACTTTTCACCATTGCTTTTCAGGACAATCATCCCTTAGCCAGCCTCCCTCTGTTGGGATATTCTCTCACCATTCCTTCCGAATCTGAAAACATTCACAAAGATTATGTCTTCAAGCTGCATTTCAAATCCCACGTGTACTACTTCAGGGCTGAAAGCGAATACACATTTGAAAGGTAAGTCAGTCGCTCTTCTGGAAGAGGGCATTTTTTAAATTCCTGGATTTGTTCCCAAAGTCAGCTGGTACAGTGTCTACTGAGTTGATTCAGTAACACAGGCTTGTAGCTCAACAGAATGAAAGGCAATGCCCTTCAAAGTACTTACAGAAATTTTAAGCCTGGAAGCACCAGAAGCTATAGCAACTGTGGTAGTAATGACTGCAAAGCTCAGCTGTGTGCAAAAAATCTCCCTTCTGAATTACTGAGGCTGCGTGCACAGGGCACACTGTATGCCAGGCTCAAGGTAGCGTGTAAACAGACCTCTTACTAGCAGAGTCGCTTCTCTCCCTCCTGTACAACTCCCTGCAACACCCACATTTGAAACAAAACAAAACACGGCTTTTTCACAGAAGCTGCTGCTCGTATTCCATTCTGCCGCTGCAGCGTGCAGCTCTTACACATCCCACGGAATTCCAGATAAAGAGCTGGGAAATGGGCACCGCTCCTGCTCAGTTCTGGTTTAGCTTACTCATACTTGGAATTAATTCAGCCCTTTTGTGTGAAACACTAATCTGACAAAGATTTGTAGTCTCATAGTCAAGAAAGCTGTGGTTCAGTTGTAGCCATGTCAATCAGTCTGAACCAAATATGGTGGGAAAAGGAGTAATTAAGTAAATGAATAGAATTGTAAGACAACACAGAAGTTCTGTCTCAGTTCTGGAAGAAGCATAACTGCGGCTACGTGACATGGTTTTGCTTTAGAACAGAGGTTATTTTCAGCTGCTCGTCACTTGGACCATCCAGAAGAAAAAAAAAACACAAATAAAACCTCTCTCAACCTCCTTTCATATGTGCTTTTGGATCTGTACCCTCTTAACTTAGATAGGAAATACGCAGTAAGCACGATGCTCCCCCACTAGACGTGGAAAATAACACTTTTCCACAACCAATAGCCCAGAAATTGACCAGGAGGAGAAAATTTTTCAAGAAATCCTTCCTTGAGATCTTGCCACCCTTCTGCTTTTCTCTCCCCTCTCACAGATGGATGGAGGTGATCCGAAGTGCCACCAGCTCGGCCCTGCGCACACGCGCCCTGAGCCACCGGGAGCCCCACACCTACTGAATGCCACAGCAGCTGGGCCAGTTTTCTACAGGACATTGGAAACTTTTCCCCCCCGGAGCTTAGTAAAACTGAAATTTGGTAAAAGGAAGGAGAAAAACCAACCAGTAAGGTTCTGCAGAAACATCCGCAATTCCTCAGCAAAACTGTTTCAGTTTTCCATATGTTGAAAATAGCTTACACCATCCCCGTGGCTGCGGTTTGTTCATGTCTTGTATTTTGTCATTCTGTGCTGTTTTTAGCTTGTGCCAGTATTAAAATATTGTCCTTATTAGAGTGCCAAATGCCAAAAGACATTTTGTTGCCTCAGAGATTGCACCTAAAAAAAACAACTCCACGATCTGAACACTTTCTCTTGTGAGGCAAATACTATTTCTTCTCTTTACATAAAAAATATATTATTTTTTTTTACCATGTTAACCTGTAGACTGCTGGAGTTTTAAATGTAGATGGACTTTCACAGTACAGACTCTAATTCTACACACAATGAGCAGTCCAGCAGGAACAAAGTAATTTTCAGATTTTTTTTCCTCCAGTCTTTCTAAATGTACTCAACAAGGAATTACTAATTTTCTATCTTTAACAAAGAAACAGTTTACAGCTCACTCTCATTTCCCATTGAGGTTACAGATCCACGTGGTATAAACAAGTTACAGGATTCCCATCGAACCATTTTCTCAGTGCAAGTTGACCAAATTGATCATGTTGGCTTGGGAAAGTGAATGCTACTTGCAAGATGAAACAAAATTAAAATAATCCAGTGCAATATTGTTTGGGCTGTTACTGTACTGTGAATGGTTATGTACAAGAAGAAATTAAAGGCTGTGGTGATGTTCTGCTGTTTGTTTTACAAACTTGAAAAAAAATAATCCAACCTGTATGCTCCAAGAACCACAGCTTTGTGTAATTAATTTGCGGGGTGTTCTGGTAACACGTGGACTAAAGCACTGCGTGTGGGGCAGCTGCTGAGCCCTGGGCTTGTTTTGCTGCTGGAGTTTCAGCATCAGACATGCCCATTTTGTTTATCTGGCCCTAACATCACCTAGCACCGTTCTTGGGTGAGCTGTTGGCCGATTCAGAAGGGTGTCAGCACAAAGCCTGCTCTGATGAGATGCTTTTCTTTATGCTTTAAGAAGCGCTTCACCATGAAATCAGTATCAAATATCCATTAGCAGAACAGCATGCTGGAAACCCATCTGTCACCACTCAGGGCCTTTGGGGAAACCCAGTGCTAGGCAGAGGGGCCTGAATGTCGGCGTGGGAGATGAAGCTGGGACAGCGCTGCCCCCAACTTTTCTTCTTCTGGCTATTCACTGTGTTAATGCTTACCTATATGCGATGTATAAAATGGCTTACAGCTTTGCTCACAACAAAAGGGAATAAAATACCTCACAATACTATCATACATCTTGCTGTTTCAAGACAGTAGAGCCTTCTTTCTGTTCCCTCACCCCAATGAATACCTTAGCAGAATCAGAGCTCCAGATGAGGAGTAGAAATGGATGTGTGTATGCGTATAATTTCAAGGAACAGGCTGCATTCTTGTGGCCAACTCTGTGCCAGTCTGACACAGGGAAATGAGCATTCCAGCAGTTTTGTAGACTTGTAGAATCCTTAAGGTTGGAAAAGACCGCTAGGATCATCCAGTCCAGCTCATCACCACCATGCCCACTAACCATGTCCCTCAGTGCCACATCTACACATTTACTGCACGCCTCCAGGGACGGTGACTCCATTACCTCCCTGGGCAGCCTGTGCCAGTGCCTCACCATTTTCTGAGAAGGAACATCCAGTAATATCCTAATGTTCAACCTGAACCTCCCGTGGTGCAATTTGAGGTCGTTCCCTCTTGTTCTATCAATAGTGAGGCAAGAGAAGAGGCCGACCCGCACCTTGCCACCACCATCTCCTTTCAGCTCATTGTAGAGGTTTCCCCTGAGTCTCCTCCAGACTAAACAACCTCAATTCTCTCAGCCACTCCTCATAAGGCTTGTGCTCCAGTGCCCTCACAGCTTCATTGCCCTTCTCTGAACACATTGCAGGGCCTTGATGTTTTTCTTCTAGAGAGGGACCCAAAACTGAAATGCAGTACTTGAGGTGGGGCCTCACCAGAAGTTCATGTATGTATCTGGTAACTGGCTGCAGTTGCTCTTTTCTTTAAATGTTTTCCTTAAAGCTTCAACTTACTAGCTCTGAGAATACTGATGAAATTGCTAGGCAGTCTGCCCTCCCTGTAGCTCAGATCTGCTATAGTAAGCCATAGAATTATATCATAGAATGGCTTGGGATGGAAGGGACCATAAAATCCACCCAGTCCCAATCCTCTGCTATGGGCAGGGCTGCCCATCCACTGCTCAGGCTGCCCAGGGCCCCATCCAACCTGGCTTTGTTACACTTCCAGGGATGGCCAGGGTGCTAAGCACCTCTGTTGGTTTTAAGGGAGACAAAATAAATAGGATAACTGCTGGCTACTGAATATACTTTAAGACTTAAAAGACATTTGTCTGAAATGAGCTAGGGGAAAAAATAGAGAATATATAAGTACTGCAGAAGACTCTGCTTCACACCACTAAAATTACAGATGCCAATGACTGCTGTGTCCCTGTGTCTGTCCTTTACAACTGTTGGCGATGATAACATCTTTTTTACTATTTTTTTAAAATTATTTTTAATGCAAATTCTGTGGAGGACCATGCACTAACTTGAGATAAAAGTGAATTTTGGTTTAGATTACGGAGGCTTGTCAGACACTGTCTTCATCAATGCTATCCTCCAGAAGAGCTTCCTAAGAAGAAAGTCAGATAACAACTTTTCCAGGCTGTTGGTTTTTTTTTTAATGTAATTAGTCAAACGTATATTTATGTATTTATTTAGATGGGAGTACCTACATTTGTCATCATTTTTCCAGTTTCTTATTCCTAAGGTTAACCCAAAAGTGAAATAACCATAAAAGAATAAAAGCAGTTATCTGGACAGTCAGCTCTCCCAATTGGTTGATGTCTACACGTGGGACTAAGCTCATGATGTGCTGGAAAGCTGTACTACACAAGCACTTACTGCTTGCTCTGAGTGATGTCATAGCATTGTCCATGAAATCAGCAGGGCTTGAAGATGCTTCTGGTTCTGGGTCCCTGTCCCAACACTCCGGGGTCAGCAGTGGAACAAACACATACTGACCAGTCAAGTGATTTATTCTGTTTGTTCTCTGCCACTGCCTGCCATGAATGACCGGTCACAGGTTTCAAGTAGTGAAGGCATTGGAGCAAAGCAGGAGCTTCACTGTCACACACGGCTCAGGCTCCTGAGGAGCACTTTTTCTACAAGGCTGAGCAGCTCCATCATTTCTCAGCTAGCAGCCGTTCCTTAAGGGACAAGTCATATTTACATACTCAGGCTTACTTATTTTCACTAAATTTTAATTAAGGACTGTTAAGACCACAATCCTTGTAAAATTGAGCTGAAATCTGCCAGAAGATGATCGAGACAGACAGACAACCTAGCGGGGAGAGACACGCACTGGCGCTGTGGATATCTCAATAAAGGTCTCTGAAGAAAAGCTCTCACAAGAAAAAACTCCTTTCAGAAACAAAATCAGGGGCCAAAGCCCATGGTTGTACCAGCCCAGAACAAAATGGAGAAACGAGAAAAACTTGAAAGGCTTGCTTTTGGCCATTTCTCCTCTTCCAACCAGCTATGTAGCCCTTCCCCTCAAAGGAAACATCCGCCCTAACTCTGTATGGATACACAACTCCAGCCATCCCCTGGCAGCAAGAAGGAGTTCGCTGGGGAGGAGAAAAGGGCAGCGTGGCACTTGTGCATTTTTGTAACAGCAGAAAATAGCAATGAAACGTAGGAGTGCGAATGTCAGTTTGTTACTCAATTATAAGGGTAATTAGAGATGCACTATTTGGGTTAAGCTCGTGCTACTCGATGAGAGCAGTTCTTCAGCTTCCTGGGGCAGGATGCAAAATAGAGAGAAATTTTAAGCTGCTGCCATTTGGAAGTTGGCACGCTGTCTTACTGTAGGACAAGCTGTCATGTAAAGCTGCATAGATTAAACCCAAACAGACCCCTATCAATCACTTGTGTGTGTGCATTAACAATGAAACAGCAATACTCTGCGCTCCCCACATGGCCCTGCCATCTGTGCGCATTAAACATACCAAATTCCCCAACACAAGATACTCTCAATACTCTGCCTTGGAAATCATCGTTGCAGATGAAGCAAGGGGTTGTCTTGTACAGATTCTAAGATTACTGCAATTAAAAACCACACCAATTTAACCAATTTAACCAAATACACTGTCTGCTCACCAGCACTGCCCTGAATCTGGGAGCCCACCAGAGCATCCCTTGGGGGAGGAGACCCTAGAACCTCATCTCACTGACCACTCAGATGGCAGAATTTTGTTACACTTTTCCTTCTTTATTTCTAGGTCACGTAGTTTACACGGAGCTTTATTACGTTGGTGTCGAGTGACAAAAGTAAGATTTAAACACATGGTTATCAACAGGCAGCAATGTTACAGAAAACAAGGTATGCACTTCGGTTGTCCTCTGTCATCATGCTTTAAAGAAAGGCAGAAAACCATTGCATACCAGTTGTCTACTGCGTAGGCTCAGTGCAGTCACCGGCACATCTGCACAATACAGCTGAAAAGAGCAAGCCTGCAGATATGTGCAATGCTCTGAGCTCTTCCCAGCAGCTTACAAAAATAACTGGTGATGGTACTGATCCGTGCATTGCGCCTGTGCTTATTAACGCTTCTGATAGTCCTCCCGTGGTGATAGTTTTGAAGCAGAAGTGTGTTTCCTTCCAAGTAAGGACAACCATTATAGACTGACTGTATCTGCTAAAAAGATACATACTGCCACATGAAGGATTAAGAGCTACAGCACGGGCTACACAAGTGCATCAAAGCACAGGCAGATGGAGGAGGTACAGTAGACAGGGTGTGAACACACAGCCAACGTGCATGCTCCTACCATAGCCCTCATCCACCTGACCTCTGCAGGGAGTGCAGAACAGCGGTGCTCAGCCACCCACAGCCACTGGGCCCTTACCTACGTGGACATACACAGATAAAACAGCAGGGGCTGCAGGGAAGGCACAGCACCTCAAAGAAGGCTTTGCTGCTATACCAAAAGCGTTCCGTGCTGTAGCAGTCGTGCCATCACACTTCAGTAAACTGGTGATCCACTACAAAGTGCAACTGCAAGGAAAATCAAGCACAAACAATAGATTACGCATCTGGTAATTACAAAAAAGCAAACGTTCAGTGCAAACGACTGACTTTATTTATTCTTTTAAACAGTGAGTTTGTTTACTGCCTAATCCTGAAGCCTCTGACAAGTAAGCAGTTCCACCAATGTAATTGTTTGCATAAATAGGGATAACAAGTTGGTGCCCAGGATATTCGAGACCGAGTGAAGATGTGTTACCCGCACAGAGAAATCGTCAGTGCAACGTTGTGACACAGACATGTTTTTAGCATGAGACAGTCTCAGGAATATCAGCACACTTATTTTTTCCCCCAGAAAGTGAGGCCACGCTTCTTTCAAACAAAGCTCTTCTGTTACCAACACAGACCCTATTTTTAAAGCATCGATACTTTGTCATAACAAATGATTGTAATTTTACATTCAAGATACAGCACACTTTTTCAGTGAATCCCAGTTTAGGATATGTTATATTTAAATAATCTATATATTACATAAAAAAATACACATCTCTACCATAAACAAGGTGTCGTCTGTACCCAAACACCCTGCCCCCTTTGGGCAGCAGGCCTTGCTGCATGCCTCCCCTTCCTTAGGCTCCTCAGCCAGCTGGGACACCCACCCAGCAAACTCCACCGCAATCTACTCAAATGGAGAAGTACTTCCTCAACATACAATTCTGGAATGCAAGAAAAATGCAACTTAAAAATATATGCATTTATTACTTCTTAACAAAAAATAATAGCGTACCGTAGAGCTTCGTACAATTTTCTGATTGAGAAAGTCTTGAACTTCCACTACAAATTTAACATCCCTGCTGAATCCTTGAGTTCCACGCATCTCCAAGTAAGCTAACTTCAGTCTTAAGTGCTTAACATGCTTCCATTTTTCTATTTGTATTCTGAATGTCAATACAACAGTTCATTCCCATATGCTATAACAGTGTGTATCTACCCAGTGGCCAAACACCGAGATGCAAGAAGGCGCATTTCCCATTGCCCTGCATTCAGCTGCACGATTGACAGAGCTGAACTCATCTGCTCAAGCACAAGCGCACCCTTCACGCTCGGGGCACACAAAACAACACGTACAATGATCTCGATCAAAGAAGAGTTACAAACCACTGCTCAGATGTATGCACTGTCCAATTCATCTTGGCTTCAAAGGAAAACCAGGCCATCGTTATG